ATCAATACATAGTATAAAACAAAGTCGCTTTCGCTGTATGTCCGTATGTATGCTTAGATCTTTAAAACTACGCAACGGATTTTGATGCGGTTTTTTTTAATAGATAGAGTGATTCTTAAGGAAGGTTTGTATGTATATACATATTGCACCCGTGCGAAGCCGGGCCGGGTCGCTAGTCATAAATAAAATCCACACTCTATAATTACTTTTAGGTACTAGTAAGCAGTCGAAGGTTCCATCAGCCACATTTCAATTCAATCGTCAGACCTAGTTTTTTTTTATACCACGACGGTGGCCAAAAAAGCACACGGCCCACCTGATGGTAAGCGGTTACCGTGGCCTATGTGCGCCTGCAACATGGCATTACATGCGTCTTGCCGACTCTTAAGAAACCTATTCACTCCCCTCTTGAAGAACCCCATGTTGTAGCCCACTGGAAAAGCCACAGCAGGGAGTTCATTCCACAATCGGAGGGTACGTGGTAGAAAATTCCTCTGAAACCGAAGTGTACGGACCATTTGGGTTCCAATGTGTGAGCGTGAACTCTCTGTTGATGGCGAGCGGTGCAATGATAGAAAGTGGCCGTGGGCGTTATATCAAACAATTCCGCAGAACACAACCCATTATAGAGGTACAAGCGGTAGAACACGCACAAGGAGGCAAAATCTCTCCTTTGACTTAAGTGCTCGATCGATACCGCTCGTAAGTATAGGATTGTCAACAAGTCTTACAGCTCTCCTTTGGACCGCGTCAAAAGGTCCAAGCTGGTATGCTGGCGCTCCTGCTCAGAGATGAGAGCAGTATTCCATAATATGTGGGCGAACTTGCGATTTATATAAAAGCAGTCTTTGTCCCGGCGTGAAGTACCGCTTCGCTCTGTTTAGCACACCGAGTTTTATGCCAGCTTGGCCTTGTCTTCTAAGTGACTACGGAACTGAACGTCACTAGATATGTCAACACCAAGAATAGGTACCTACACTTGGAATTTAGGGGCCACAACGAATGGGTTTTTTAGCGGTTAAGCATAAACTTGTGTCTTGGAGGGGTTGAACCGGACCATATGGTCCCATCCCAATCTGAGACTCGGCCTAAGGTACCTACTCTCGATTTGAGACACAAGTTTTACGTAGCTTTCTTCCACAACGGAACAAGTGATGTTTGCACGGCCCGTGTAAGTTGCGTCCCCGGTGCTATCATCAGCATAGCAATGATTACCCTCAACAGACAGCTAATCATTGATATGCAGAAGAAACAGCGTCGGAGAAAGTACGGAGCCTTGCGGGACACCAGCGTTTATGTCCATGCTTTCAGAACAACTACCGTCTACGACGGCTCTTATACGTCAGCCGGACAAAAAGCTAGTAACCCATTTGCACAATCCCTCGGGCAGTCCGTATGATGGCAACTTCGTCAGAAGACTCCGGTGCTAGGCCCTATCGAACGCCTTTACTATATCTAGGCTAATATCTAATAAGTTTGATTGCATCATCATTTTGTGTGGTCACAACTAATTTACATACATATTAAGTAGGTTTATAATCTTGAAAACCTGAAGACACACAAGATTTAAGCTGCCTCTCTCCATACTTACAACTTTAATTTTCTTTCCCATCTGTGCAACAAGATTCATGACACAACTGACGAAAATTGTGAATTTTGTTTACCTCTCTGAGTCTCTGCTAATTTGCTTATCCTTTAAATTCATATTAATTAATAAGATTATGTACCTACTAGTTTCTGCGCGGTTTTGTTCGTGTTCCCATGATACAAAGTGCAATGCTATTAATTCACCCAAATATAAATGTGTGCGTTACCCAGGCCCTGATGTTGTCGAAAATGGTCATTTGTATCTTATAGATAATTAGTTGTGCGGCTTCTGTAATTGTTGCGCCACATTTTTTTCTGCTGGGGTAACGTTACCCCAGCCAGACCTTTTTCTTTCTAATGGGAATATTTAAATAATTCGTAGCTATAAAATTAGTTGTCTAGATGAAGTAAATGTTGTGCCTTGTTTTGTATTTGTTCTTTCATCGGTTGCGAAGTTATTCGAGATTATGCTAGGGTAACGTTTTTGATTTTTCTACATCTTTGAAATGGTTAAGCGGATCCTTATCATATTTTGTACATGGCGTCTTAGGAGTTAGTTTAAATTTGTTGTGCAATAAAAAAACCAAAACAATACATAGCTTAAAGGTTATTTCATTAAATAGAAAGACACTTCAATTGGTCCCAGTACTCCCAATAAGAGCTCTAATGAGTTACTTTAAACGTTATTTAAAAGCTTGTAAGTGCCTTCAAATGTATGTGAAGTTACATTAGTATCCTGTAAGTACAAGTTATGATGATATCGAGTTCTTCACGAGCACGGTCTTGATGCGCGCGGTGTTATTTGGCCGCTGGATTGTATATATGAACTGAATGGTGTCCCTTCGTCCAGCATACTCACCATGGAATCCTGATATTTCATGAATGTCAAAAAACTGTTCTGAAATAGTGCTAAATAGTGCCCAAAGGAAAAAAATAGTGCTCTTGTACTTGCGAAGTTATAGCCATAGTTCGATGAGTATGCTGGACGAAGGTTTCGCCCAGCATACTCACCTCCGTCCGGAGAATCTGTATACGCTTCAAACATAATTCATACTTCAAAAAATAGTTCCCAAATAGTGCCAAACGGTGCCCAAAAAGAAAAAACAGTGCTCGAATAACTTCGGAGTTATAGGCTTCGTTCAGTGAGTATGCTGGGCGTAGGTTCTACGCCCAGCATACTCACCTCAGTGCGCGAATATCGAACGAGCTATAGGTACAATTTACGTCTCAAAAAATTGTGCTTGAAATAGTGCCCAATATCAGTCCAATTTTTGCTTGACTTTTGACTTAGAAAACCATTAAATTTTAATGTAAACTTCTACATACTAACGTAAAATGGGGTACAGTCGTCGACACATGTTTTTGGACAAAAATATTAAACTTTCTAATTGTAGACTTCATGTTATTGGAAATAATTATGGTATTTTCTCACATGTCAAAAACTTTCGATTAAATGCATTATTATATATTTTATAAATAATAATAAATGAATGAAACTTTAAGCGTAAATGAAGTCTATTACTTCATTGCATTGTGTGTTTGTCTGAATAAAAACAGTCATTTGCAGCCAATAAAATTAATATCTTGAAAAATTGTAAAAAGGAAATTATACAGTTTCTTTTTGTATATATGTTGCAGGCAAAACTTATAACCAGTCAAAACTAGTACTGTGACATAGTTATACAAATTTTTAAAACTCTTTCCAATAGTTTCATCAATGAAAGGTTTAGCAATAAAAAACATTTTTAATTACTTACGTTATTTATTACTATTTAAAGGGCCAAAGTAATCAGAATTCTAGTTAACTAGTTCACAGCTTTTGTTAACATTCATAATATAATCAATGTAAATTGACCGTACGTGCATCCATTACTGCCACACTATATTGAACTTTATCACATGAGGAATACAGGTCAATTCCGTAAACGTTGTGGTACCGTCCTTGATCCGGAAAATGATTATTTTGAATAATTTTGTCAGTTGTAATGTAAGCATTAATAACAGCAACTTTATTTTTCATGCATGATTTACTTCATTTGATATCTTAATCCTTCAAGCGCCGTGATCTAGACAAAATATATAAAATCATTGTTCCTAGCTACCGGGGTCCCATGCGACGCGCGAAGGCTTAATCATATTATTATAAAGTATTATTAAAATAATGTGTAATTAATAATATTGCGATTCTAAAGTAAATACTCCCTTACATAGACAATTAATAATTTACACAAGACAAAAATTGTTAGAAAGAAAGTTAATAATATTGTATTCGACTGTACTCAATGTAATGTATGTAGAAGTTTACAATCAAATTTAATGGTTTTCTAGGTCAAAAGTCAAGCAAAAATTGGACTGATATTGGGCACTATTTCAAGCACAATTTTTTGAGACGTAAATTGTACCTATAGCTCGTTCGATATTCGCGCACTGAGGTGAGTATGCTGGGCGTAGAACCTACGCCCAGCATACCTACTCACTGAACGAAGCCTAAAACTCCGAAGTTATTCGAGCACTGTTTTTTCTTTTTGGGCATCGTTTGGCACTATTTGGGAACTATTTTTTGAAGTATGAATTATGTTTGAAGCGTATACAGATTCTCCGGACGGAGGTGAGTATGCTGGGCGAAACCTTCGTCCAGCATACTCATCGAACTATGGCTATAACTTCGCAAGTACTAGAGCACTATTTTTTTCCTTTGGGCACTATTTAGCACTATTTCAGAACAGTTTTTTGACATTCATGAAATATCAGGATTCCATGGTGAGTATGCTGGACGAAGGGACACAACTGAATGTTATGTCAATAATTAGGTACGCTAGTTATTTAGTTCAGTTGTATATCAGTTAAATTTTAGCTCAGTACATTGGATAATTAATGAGATTACCGACCAAGTTTAGGTGGCTTCTTCAGAACGACAAACGCACACTAGTTATAAAGTACTAGCTTATCCTGTGCGGTTTTACCGCTGCTCTGCTCCTATTGATCGAAGCGTGGTTTTATAGCCTTCCTCGATGAATGATCAAATATAAATAATTAACAATTCGAACCACTAGTTCCACAGATTAGTGCGACCATACACTCTTCTCTCGGCTTCGTTTTTTCTATACTTGACGCACATTTACATCATATTAGAATAACACTCCCATAGTAGGTACCTACCTAGGCTACCTACCACTGACACGCTCCAGGTGCTACTCTGCTGCTGGGGCTGCGATCAACCTTGCCGAGGCTTGAAGCAGGAATAGTGACGGCCCCTTCTAGATAGCCTACAAAAACGTACTTCTCTGCTGTGCTCGTGCTATGAAAGTGGTGTTGACAACGACACGTAGTGTTATTGTATTGTGTAACTTCGTGTACAGCACGCTTCGTATTTTGACCCAATGCTATGGTCTGCAACTAGCAATCAATGTGTAATATCTAAGTGTGGGAGAGCCATGCTTCGGCACGATTGGCCCGGCTCGACCGGAGTGATACCACGGCCTCACAGAGTGTGCCTCGTGTGAGTGAGGTTACCGGAGGCCCAATTACCCCCTCCTTAGTCTCCCGAATCCTCCACAATCCTCAAACTCCCAATTTCCCAAAAAGGCCGGTAACGCACTTGTAACGCCTTGGTGTTTTGGGTGTCCATGGGCGGCGCCGATTGCTTACCATCAGGTGATCCGTCTGCTCGTTTATCAGCTTATGCCCCCGCCCGCCCGCTTCGTCTGACATCTTGCTATGAAATGCTCAAAGTCAAATGAATATGTTATATTACACGTAAATGCTCGTTAGTCAGGGAGGTATTATTGTAATGTAATGCTCAAGGTCGAATCAAAAATGCTACATTACACGTGAATGCTCCCGATGAGGGAGCACCTTAACTATATTATGCACCTCTGGCTACTCCTTCGGGGAAATGAAGGAACTATGATAATATATTTGTATACTTAAACTCAGATTTATAGAAATAGGAGGGAATGAGATTAATTATTTGTAAGTTAGGACAGGAATAGGAATCAGGAAATGATGGCAAAATTAATATTGGTCAAGAAATAAAACTCGCGGCGTGTTACAAAAAGTACATCTCTATTAGAGAGGGGCAACGCTTGGTGCCGCGGGCACGCCGCGGATACGCCGCGGCCACGCTGCCAGTACGCCGCGGCCACGCTGCCAGTACGCCGCGTGCCCGCGCCGCCAGCTGGTCGCTGCGCATGATACATTAGTTTACAACTGTACTTCACAAACTTTAGACCCCACACTGCTACTACTGGGGAACTGTAACAACCATCTACGTAATTATGTCGGTGACGCCGTGTCGCACCGAGACCAAAGTGGATCCAAGGAGTGGCGCCAGTCCCCGGCCGGAGCCCTGCCTCCGGACGTCGCCCAGTGCAGAGCACGCGGGAGGTAGCGCAGCGGTTGTTTAGTAGTGTTGGCTCTAAATTTTGTTTACAGAATCGCTTATTTTACTTGCAAACGCTGTTATAACGACAATGAAAGTTTCCTCTGATATAATTACGGGCCGCGTAATTTAAGAGATACGAGCAACGTTTACAAGTAAACGTGGGTAGTGTAAGATAGAGCGGGCCTGCCCACTCGAGGACCGACACCGGTGACGCCTGCACTGTCCGGGGCTGAGTATTGGAGACGTAGTGGCGCCGGCTGACACATATATCGATGTCCGTCCTACTACAGCGTAACGAGACTCTCGAATATTATATTTACAATAAATAAGTACACGAAATTTTGCACAGCACGTAGTACCACTACATGCTTCACAACTCAATACAAAAACAATGTACTTACACATATTAGTAGTACAGTTAAAAAATCGATGAAAAACTAAATAAAAAAATACAGTCACTGCCATTTTTTTAGTTTTTTTAACTAATAATTATTAGAATATAATACAGTTTGAAATCGTTATCGATACTGGCACGCAGTAGTGTGGGCTGTCAGTGCAAGCACTAGTCGGCCACAAGGCTGCGGCAGCTACTGCGCCCGGCATACGTTACATAATTATTATTTCATAGATATCTAAGTAAATGCATAAGAACATCTGCATCAATATCGTTTTAGCGAATCGATACAATAACATACGTTTTATTTTAATACAAAATACGTTATTTATATAATCTGGAAAGGGTTTCGGAGCTAATCTAGAATTTATTATTTCGTGAGGTCGGCGACGCGGCGGCGTCTCATATTCCTAACACTATGTACAGTCGTACGGCCGCGCCCCCGTCCGCCGCGCGCTCGACTCACTACGTCGTACGTACCTCCACGCTGCATTCATTAACTTAAATTCACATTTCAATATCGAATTAAAACGAAACACATCATAGAAGCTTAGCATATCTTACATAGGTGAAAACGAAGGATGACAGACGAACGACCGACCGGACGTCGCACGCCGCTCCGGCCGACGAGGGCGACCTTTGTCTACCGTCACAACGAAGCGAACATCCTACCGACTAGCTACGGGGCGCCGGGCGCTGCGAGCCGGCCAGGCCGTCTAGCGGCGGTAGGGCTGGCGCGGGGCGAAGGCCGCGCGGTGCGACGACAGGGGCCGCCGGCGCGCCGGCTCGCGGGCGCGCGTCTTCTTCTCCTCCACGTTCAGCTTCACGCCGCCCTCCGCGCCCTCGCCCGGGAAGTACAGCGGCTGCAACAATACCACTACGTTCGTACACCGCTGGGTAGGCCGGTTGCAAAGTGAAGAATTACACATTACCTAGCTTTACTAACTATTCAATTTGACGTTTCAAAAATGCCTTATCAAGGATTAATCGAAATAAATACTTCAAGTTTTACACGTCAGCTGATATGTGTCCTCGTAATGCAATTTTCGCAAGTATCACAATGAGCGTACGTACCGCAGCGTTGAGACAGTCGTGCGCGGCCTGCGAGGTCTCGTAGGTGATGAACCCGTAGTTGGGGTGCTTGGGCGCGCCGGGCGCGGCGGGCTTGGAGTGCACGCGCAGCTCGGCGACGGGCCCGAAGCGGGCGAACAGCGCGCGCAGCTCGTCCTCCGTGGCGCAGTGCGGCAGGTTGCCCAGGAACAGCTGCTGCGCGTCCGAGTAGCGCCGC